AAAAGGCTTGCCTGTAGAGGTGGGATGTGTAACAATGTAACAACAACTGGACTCAAAATATTCACACTGACAGAAAATGCACTTTCTTTCAGACAGTTTACCTGTAAATACCTTTTCTCTTTCTCTCTCCGTCTCCTCTGCAGGGTTCAGCTGCAGGTAAAGGAATCAGCAACGGTTCCTATAAGAGTCACCGACTCTTCAGCTGCCCCGAATCCTGCGCCGTCTTCCTCCCAGTCAGTCACATCAGGCCCCGCCTCTGGTCTGCCAACAACGGCTCAGACGCACACGAGCGAGCCCGCGAGCGACACCACCAGCGCGGCAGCGGTAATCACCCCAGCAACGGGCACCATGGCAACAACGATCGCCCAAATCATCAGCAGCAGCAGCCCGGGCGTCACATCAGTTTCCACCAGCACAGTCCCAGCAGCCCTCCTCAGCCGTACGCTTTTGGCATCCTCCCTCGAACGGCAGAGTCGGTTCCCCTCGCAGCTCATAACCAGGTCCGAGGCCCCGTGTCGCCTCCACCGTTCCATGTCGGCCAGCGGGTGTGTTTCCCCCTGGAGGACAATGTCTACAGTGGGGAGGTGCGATTCTGTGGTCTCCTGCCCGGCCGGTCCTCCTCAGGGACGTACGTCGGAGTCCTGCTGGTCAGTACGACACTGGAGATAAAACTGATTATAGGAATATTCCAAATGAAGTTATAATTATTTACAATCCTAAATACTTTTAGATTTATCATCTTAAAAAGGTTCTTTTAACAAAAGCACAAAATTAAGATGATTAAACCATCAAACACATCTTTCGTCATTTAAAGCTGCACAATATAGGAATTATATATTATTACATATACATTATACATTATGTAGTATTATTTTTAGATATTATGATTCACAATTAGTGGGAATTACCATTTTTGCATCACTATTTTTATTTTTACTAAAAAAAAACAATTGAAATCATGATGTGTTGAGGTCTGTAGTACCATAAAGTGTCTCTGTAGCAGTACAGTACTTCATTATAATGCTGTTTTGTCACACATTTTACCTTTTATCAAACAATTGCAGCTCCTACGATATGGATATTGCACATTAATTGTACAGTCCTGCTGTTATTCCCCATCTCTCTCTCCCCCGACTACCTTTATCTCTCTACTGTCAACTCTTAAAAAAAAAAAAAGGCACAAAATAGTTGCTTACAAATGCTTACAAATAAAGACCTTGTAGATAGTCCTCAAACTAAAAAATCCAAAAGATTGCACTTCTGCTAAAGATAAATACAGATAAATAAATCTTTACTCATATGTGTTTATTTGAAGAGTTTTCTACAGACGCAGTTGTGTCTGCAGCTGTGTGTTTTGACTCGGTGTTAAACATTACAGGACACTCCTGTGGGTAACTGGGACGGCTTTTATAAGGGAGAGAAGCTCTGCAACATTCCTTCTCTGGTGTACGGACAACTTCTGCCAATTGCCAAAGTCTCCTCAGGTATGGCAACCGTTTACGCAACCAGGCCTCACACACTCGCAGTATGTGTTAAACTTTAGCTATATAGAGCCTGTCGGGCTGTTTATTAACCTTTGGCCTGTCCTTAAAGTCAAGATGCACATTGTCACTACCACCAGTGTATAACTAACTCTTGTTCCGTTCCTGTGCCATCAGAGCCTAAATCCCACCGCCAACAAATTCCCAAATCCATCCTGAAGCCCGCGCCCCTCCCGGTCATTAAAGCCCTTCCTGCTCCCAGGGTCGCCCTGATGCCCCCGACCAAACCGGCAGTTAGACCTCCTCCGCTGCCGCCACCGAAACCCAGTCACAAACCCCTGCCCCCTCCTCCTCTCCCACCCCCCAAACCCCTCAGCCCGACGTCGCCGACCACCGCGGACCGGCTGCAGCACACCAACGGCGCGCACGGCCCGCCGTCACCGCTGAGGTCTCCAGACAGCGGCGAAGCTGCAGGGGAGAACGGAGAGGCAGGACCGGAGGACGATCTGGAGGTGGGGTCGATGGTCGAAGTGAACGACCCTCCGCTTTTCGGGGTTATCCGCTGGATTGGGCGGATCAGTCAGGTTTCAGAGACAGTGGCTGGGATTGAGCTGGTAAGGTTTTATAGTTTCATGCTTGATTTATCGTCCTTAAGGTACAAGCCAATATCCAAATGTTAGAAAAGGGGGAATCTTACCACCACAATTCAGTACAGAGCATTGTTTCCTGATAATAGCCTCAAATCGATCTTTTAATAATGCAAAACTAGAGCAACATTAATGTGTGAACACAATAAAATCAGGTCTATACTTTATTATCAATTGAAAAACAATAGGGCAGTGTTTTAATCCTGAGGACAAACACTTAAAACAAGTAACTAAAAGGTATTTAAGTTCTATTTTAGTCCATCTTTGTTCCCATTTATGTCCCATTCTCTGCACTCTACAGGTTCTGACTTTCTTATAGGCACTAACTTTTCCAAGTCTAACCATAAATATTGAAATTAATGGTTTAGTTAACGCTAACGGTCATTTATTCCTTGTTACTGCTTATGTCTCTTTGTGTCTCTTTGGTACAGAATGTATTCAATTTTAAATGGTTGTTGCAGCCTGTGGCTCTAGAGGAAAGTTATAGTTGTTTCATCACTTTCAGTGTAGTAATCTAATGTAAAATCCCTACACTGACTCATATGATGTTGTACTGTAACGCTGCTAAAAAACAAACCCACTGTGTGTTTTAGGACCAGGAGCTGTCTGCAGGAACAGACGGCAGTTACCTGGGTGAACGTCACTTCCGTTGCCCGGCCAACAAGGGGCTGTTCGTCAAGCTACGTAACTGTAGACGGGACTCCAGGTTTCCCGCCCCGGAGACACCCGTCAATCAAGTAGAGCGATGCAACTCGATAGGTAGAGAGAGATCCAGAAAACAGAAAACACAAACATCATACACACGAGACGAACATAAGAAGACGACTGTAAATAATTGTGAAAAGATGTTGACATCTAGAGAGACTTTAGGCGCAGTATCTTGCAACTATTAGAGGAACTGAAAGCGAAACGCACCTCTTCACTCAGGGTGTGACATTTGTGTGCCACGCGAGCTTCTATATGATTTTCCTGCACCTAACTGTTCAGTTTTATTATGTAACACTGTGTGCTGTGTTCCTGCCGCTCCCAGCCTTTGCAGAGTGGGGCAGCGAGCGTGTGGAGGACCACACTCCTCCTGTGGACGGGGGCGAGGCCAGTGAGCTCTACCAGGGCTGCAAGAGAGGCATCCAGGGTCACCTCAACTCATGCTACCTCGACGCCACGCTGTTCAGGTAAAGTCCGAGGCTGTTTACATCCTCTGTAGCAACAGGAAGGGTTAAAGGATGTTTAAATATATCAACGTAAAAAACGATTCTTGAGCAATTCTTCTTTGTGGTCCACCGGAAGCCGCGGTTTGTATTATATTTCTTAATTTAGAATAAACAGAAGAATGTAAGATAGGGCGAGCACTGGTTGGTCCTCTTGCAGGTGAAACATTTTGGGTGTAAATTACGCTGAATCCATCCGTAACAAATCGAGCATGGCTACTTATTTCCGTCCTCTGTCTCTCTACAGCCTGTTCTCCTGCTGCAGTTCAGCTGACTGGGTGTTGTTTTGGCCCTCTGACCCTGAAACGCACCGAAACTCCAGTCAGGCTCAGGACCTGCTGCGCTGTGAAATAGTCAACCCCCTGCGAAGGTGTGTAAATGTGTGTGTGTGTGTGGACACAAATTTGGTTGTTCTAATTTCTTTCTGATAAACTGAAGGAACTGTTGCTGAAAATATGGTGTTTAATAAAAAATAAATAGGAAAGGGTCTGAATACTTCCCCCGCTGTGTGGTTAAATGTCAAAACCCTAATGTATTGAAATATGGACGGTCCTCATTCCAGTTTACAAATATTAAAACACAAAGCATTCCTGACTGTATTTGTGTACCGGTACGTTTCCAAGGTACGGCTACGTGTGCGCCAGCAAGACCATGGCCTTGAGACGCCTGCTGGAGGCGGCGAACAGCGACACAGGCTTCACCAACCAGGAGAAAGGTGTGTGTGTGTGTGTGTGTGTGTGTGTGTGTTGTGCTTGTAAGCTATGCCACCTGCATATTCCATC